TGTTCAACAAGCAATAATCAGACAAGGTTCACAGAAACTGACTGAAGGGAGGGAACCAAGGAGGAACAAAGGCCAGAGGTCCTTAGACCAACACAGTGTTCTGATCACATCCCCCACCCAGGTCTCCCTCCCTTTTGTTTCTTCAGCCCCCCTCTTCTCAGCGGCAGCGTCTCCATCCTGGGTTTAGTAGATTTCGTAGTTTGGTTTTTCCCAGCTTTCCAGAGAATAATGAGCTAAGGGATCTCCCCTATGGTGTCCCTATAGCCTCTTATCCTCTCCCACACCATCTTTACTTCTAAGGTGGTCAGGACCCCTCTGTTCTCCCTTCAGTTTGTGACTGGTGCTCAGGACCCCACATGAAGGGCTTGATTCCGGGGCAACCTCTGGGAGGTGGGGAAGTACATGCATCCTCACGGGCACACAAGTGATCTGGTGGAGCAGGGCTGGATGTCAGGCCCCTTCACAACTGTACAACAGTGCAGGCTGGCCCTGCTACTAATTGCCCCTGAGGTACCATTCAGTGAGCACTTACCTGCTGAGTTTCAGGATGATCTCATTCAATCCTCAGAATACCCCTGTAAGGCAGATCTTAGTATCTTCCCCAGTTTACAGATGAAGAAGCTGAGACCCAGAGAGAAATGTGGTTTGGTCATTGTAGCACAAAAAGGAAAGTGAGTTTGGAGCTGGGACCCAGGAGCTCTGGCAGCCAGGTGTGAGCTTTCTCTAGCACAATGTTGGTGCTGCTACTGATGCCACACCAGCTCCTTTCTCCCCACTCCCTCTCTGCTTGTGTCCTTCTTCTCTTCCCAAAGTAGCGTTCGAGGACTGTGAATGCTCTGGTTAGCTTCTTTCTTCTGTTCACAATCCTCACACGGTCAGATTTCAAGAGCTCAGGAAAGGACACAGAAAGAGGCAGAAAGATGAAGGAATGGGGCAATAAAAGAGGCTTTCCACATAGAGGAAGAGAAAGCAAAGAAGGCAGGCACTGGACTGGGGATGGAGAAGGAAGGTGGGTAAACTGAGGAAGAGGGCAAAGGCAGGGCCTCCATCGTGTGGGCACAAAGGGGCCATATGCCTGGCAGCCTACACAAAGTGTGTGTGTGTGTGTGTGTGTGTGTGTAAGGGGAGTGGGGGAGGGGTGGCTAAGAGTCCTCTCTCCCCCCACACCACCATCGCCACTACCATTCTCAAACCCCTGGGGCCCTTCTGTCTGCTCTGTCACTAGGGGTGCGGTTTGCTGAGAAAGACGTCAGAGGGGAGCAATTATGACAGACAGGACTTGCAGGGTCAGAGCCTGTGGTAACTAGGGGTGGAAGAGGGCTTGGACAGTTGGAAGGTATATGGCCTGGTGGGAATGGGGGCATGAGGTGCTAGAATCCCCATTGCCTGGTTCCCCCAAACAGCCCCAAGCCCAGTGCTCTTTTAGCCTTCCCTCTCTGCCCCTCTCCTGTCTGTTAGCCCCGAAGCTCTCACTTTTCTCTTAGCCCTGAGCCTAGGGACTCCATGTCCCTGACAGTCTCCTTTTCCAGTGCCTGGTCCCCTCTCCCTTCCCCCTCCCATGTCCTCCCTCTCAAGTCCTGTGAGCTCAGCAGCAGCGAGGCCAATTGATTATCTGAAGAAATTCAGAGCTAGCAGTAGAACAGCTGCAGCTGCCCCCTCTCGACACCCTCAGGCCCTGAGGGATCTCTGAGGGGAGGGGCCCAGTAACCCCTTCTGCCTTTTAGCTGGACAAAATAAGGAGAGAGGAAAGCAGAGAGCTCAGGGGACTGTGACTGTGTCAGAGACACAAAGTACTCGGGGGCAGGAATGGAAGGCACTGGGTTCCAGTCCCAGTCCATAATCATGTGTGAGTCCCATCACCCTTGTGGACAGCAGTAACCTGCCTTTAAAACAAAGATGTTGGATTCAATACTTTCCATACTCCCTTCCAACTCTTGCCTCTTTCAGTCCTCAGATTCTCCATGGCCTCAGTTCAGCTCTCCCCCTTGCCATGCTCTAGGCAGAGCACATTTCAGTCTGAGATGGGGAAGGAAAGTTATCAACTCTCTTTCCTAGGTCTAACTCAAACCCCTCTTGCAGCCGATGTCATTCCATGCTCATGGAAGTTAAAAGTGGCACACTTCAGGGACTGAAGGATGACTCAGAATTTCCTTCCCACCATCTGCTTTTAGCCTTCTCAGATGACCTTAAGTTTGGAAAGGATCTTGGAGACCACCTAGGCAGGAATGAGCTCCCTGGCATCACTGCACATGGTTGATTCTCAGGCCTGTCTATTTGGACTCCTCCTCCTCGAGGCTGGCCCTTCCATTGTGGGACAGTTCCAGGTGTTTCAAAGTTTGTCTTGGAGTTAAAATCTGTTTCCTATAACTTCCACCTACTGGTCCTGGTTCTGACTCCTGGGGACACACAGAATATCTGGTTTTGTTTCTTCTCTCAATATTTGAAGATAGATATCACATTGCCACTAAATGTATTCTTGTAAAGACACATATCCTCAGTTTTTCAACTATTCCTTCTGTGAAGCAGCCTCCAGGCCTTTAGTCTTCTTGGCCACGCAACTCTGAATAGTCTCTAGTTTATTAATGTTCTGTTAAAATATGGGGTCCATAGAGAGCCATCTGTCAGGCCGGGCCATTTCAGAGAGACGGAGGGGCCTTGGCAGTATTGTACATAAAGAACCTGGGTTTGAACTTTATCTCTGCCCACAAGCAGCTGTGTGACCTTGGGCAAAGCCTTCCTTCTCTCTTGAGCTTTAGTTCCCTCATTTACAAATTAATTTTAAGTCCCTTCCAGGATTACTTTGATATTCCTTCAGCATTTCTTTTTATCCCTTTCCTATTTTTTCTCTTATTCCTAGGTCCTCCATTGTGTTATCCCCAGTATCCAAGTATTAGGAATACAAATGGGCCAAGAACTGAGATTACAAGGAATTTCGAGCCAGCTTAGAGACAATAACAGAGAAGGCAATGTTTCATGACGTGACTTTTCCCAGGACTGTTAAACCCACAGACACATGTTTAACTTGGGCTACACTGAGACACTTAGCTTATTCTCAGGCCCACAGAGAGCAGGAGCAGAAGCACATCAGAGAGGTCAGAAAGTGTCACTCAATGAGTGCCACGTGGGATACATGGGACTTCACGTAGGGAGGTCTGAGAGCCATGTGTTACGGCTCTCCCTGCACCTCTTTACTCTGTGGCCTCTTCTTCTCTCTGTCTTCATTTACCCACCACTAAGCTCTCATGAC